ACAACACAAGCAAGCCGAAAAGGTCAAAGGTGGTGAACATTGTATAAATTTCATGTTTATCCAAAAATTGCATAAGCGGCTATAGATGTGTGTATGTATGTATGTATATTATTAGTGTTGCATGGCATTTGAAACTCTTATCGAATTAACACCCTTATTACTTGCCATAAATAGTGTTATTACAATAACTTCTTCAATGGCATACTCATGCCTACAAAAGCATACCTTCATTGTGCCATCGAGCACTAGCTAGCCTCAAATAACACAAAGTATACAAATATTTTCGAGTGAAAAAAAAAACAAAAACTAATAAGCTACTCAATGAGAATTTGTGAAATTGCCACAAAGATGGTGTCAAATTGGTTTCCTGCGAGTTTGCCAATGATATATGGTAGTCAAACGCACACACGCACATAGGTAGATGTGAGAATGTATGTGCGAATATATGTATGCATGTGTGTCTTGTATCAAAGTTGTTTGTAACTTGTGCATTTAATCCGAAGCAGTTAGCAACAAAGTGTTTTTTGTGATTTCTTTCGCAATTTCGTCCACTACAAAAAACGTGTATATATAAATATATAGTACGTGCACATACATACATACACATATACAAGTATAAAGACTGCTTTGAAATAGAACACTTCAATTTTTACCGTTTTGAATAAGGTGAAATGAATGCACATACGAACAGTGAAATATTGGCATCTGCATATACATATATACATACATGTATATGTATGTTTGAATGTATCGGTGTATTCACTTTTGTTGAACAAAAATCTTGTGAGTTGTGCGATATTGATTTTTGTGAAATATATTGTAATCGATATAGTAGATATGAACATGTGTATGTATGAATGTACAAGCATGTATGTATATTGTTTCTGCAAATGATTGCAAGCGTGCATTTCCTCTTGGAATTTGATGCTCTAGTATTTGTTGTTTAATTAAAGTTAAATTAAATTGTATTTTCTTGTGCTGAGGAACTGCTGCCAGTGTGCTATTGAAATTATATGCTATCACTTGCATGTGGTTGCGCCTTTACATACCATACATATATACGTATGTATGTGTGTATGTTTTTCTGAATGGCAATACAATGCAATGTAAAACAGGAAGGTACGTTTCTAAATTAGTGGAACTAAGGTGAATGTACTAATAAGATTATTGGCTTATTATGTTATTATTATAAATGCTAAAATTTCCAAATTTTATCCACTAAGGAATGGAAAATGTTTTATATATATATATATTTTTCCAATCGTTGGGCATGCGATAATTCATAACCTCTCAAATCGTTGAAAATGTTCGTATTTATTTTCCAACGCCGTGAAGCCCAGATATTCCGTAGTAGAACCCAAGAGGAGAGCTATTACTTTTTCACTTTCTTTGCTTTGCGCTTCGTGCCTGGGCAAGTCCATGTCCCCTATTGTCAGCGCGGTCAAATAGCGCGAAATTGCCTGTTAAATGAAATTGTCAATAAGTGCAACAATCGTTTTGTTTACTTTTTGTATTTGTTTTATTTATTATACGCCTATCTCCCATGCGACTCCCATATAACATGCGATTTTCAAACTTCCAGTTGCTTTATATCATACATACATACAATGAGTTATTGTTATTAAGCTATTGGCAATTTCAATAATTATTGCCCAAAAAATATTTTCGTAAAGAAAAATTTTCTTTTATTTGCTCTACTCTAAATTTGCCTTCATTTACATTATATTTGTCAGAAGAGATGATATATAATATAATATATAGATAATTATAATAAATTTATTAAATTTTCAAAATCAATTTTACAGTGTACAATGTTCGAAACAACAACCTTTAGTGAATACACAAATCGCTGCAACTATCGACCGCAAGATGTCGCCAATCAATTGTAGTTCTAATAGGTGTTTAGGCAACGCAGACTATATAGATTTAAAAGAAAAACTAATTTTAAATAATAAAATGATATATTTTGTAGCCTATTCCAAGTCCAAGACCAAGTCCAAGACCAACTCCGATGTTAAAAATTGTGCACCGCTGATTAATTTACAATCCATATTCAAAGGTCATATAATGCACCAACTCTCTACTCTATCGGTTTAAGCTCTGTGCACCTGCTAAAAAATCAAAAAGGGCAAAGAAAGAGGTTATCCAAACTAGCGGTTATGTGCAAACTTTCTGAAAGTTGTACGGCCGATTTGTATTCAAATCTCTTTGATTTAGCTACTCTACCTGAAGCTACAAGTGGTTTATTCGCTTCTCCACTTTCCAAGATTTGGAGAATCAAAGATTTGGAGAAAAACAGATAAAGCTTAAAGTCCTAAAAATTGCTTGAAATAACAGACAATTTGAGCTCTTGTTTTTTTGTTAGAAACTAATTGTTATTGTTTAAATTTAATTTAAATAAGTATAAATAAGCAATGATTCATATGTTGAACATAATATTTATTAGAAAAAAGAGCAGCAAAAGTATTCTTCTAGAAATGACTGGCACTCTCGCTTCATAGTGACAGTTCATAGCAGCCAGCTCCTATCAGAATAATTTGCTGATGGCTTAGCACACATGATTATATAGTTCCAAGCAAGACAGTCCATAAGTTCAAAACAGCTTATCAACCTAACATGTTGGTAAATAAATTCATAATTAATGTATATATATATATACAAGGTGCGTTCCAAAGTAAACAGTAAAAAAGTAACAAAGTAAACTTTAGTGGTGCCATCTATATGTCGACTAGTGCGTTAGAATCTGCTATCCTTTATCGACTTAAAAATTACATGACATTTCATCTATTTGAGGTGAAGTTATTGCGTTTTAAGTGTCATTATGTTTTTGTCATCGGTGCGAAAATGAGCTTCAAACAAAGAACCAACATGAAATTTTGTTTTAAAATTGGTAAAACTTTTACCGAAACGTTTCAATTGATGAAACAAGTTTATGGCGATGATTGCCTATCCCGTAGCAGAGTGTACGAGTGGTTTCAACAAGTGGTCATGAAGACATAAATGAGAAATGAGCCGAAACCCAAAAAATCGCACCTGGAGAAGTCAAAAGTGAAGACAATGCTGATTTGTTTTTATGATTCCAAGGGTATTGTACACAAAGAATTTGTTTCACCTTATTCGACGTGTTCGGCCCGAATATCGCGAAGATGGAAGTTGGCGTTTGTTGCACGATAATGCGCCGTCTCATCGATCGACGCTTGTGGCTGATTATTTGACCAAAAATCACATTTTAACAACCAACCACTCCCCGTATTCACCTGATATGGCACCGTGCGACTTCTAACTTTTCGGAAAATTTTTATGAATTCATTCTTTTGCCGAAGAAAGGAAAGCGTTATGCAGACGTGGAGGCCATTCAAAAGGCTTGCACCGGCATACTGGCGGCCATACCGAGCAACGAGCTAAAACACGCGTTCGACATGCTTTTGGACCGTGCAAAAAGCTGTATTAAAGCAGAAGGAGACTATTTTGAATAAAATTAATTGATTTTGCCGATAAAACCATTTGTTCTGTCTTTTTTTTTAAAAGTCCTGTTTACTTTGGAACGCACCTTGTATCATATACATATCATATATGAATTTATTTTTAACACATCAATAATTTCTAAATATATATATGTAAGAATATATTTGTCGACATAACAGACCCATGTGTTTTTGTTTATTTGACATAACGACAAAAGCGTCTCGTCGTGCATACTTATATAACGCACCACTAAGAAAAAATGCGTCAGAATTAAATATATAAACTTATTTGCTTTTAATTCTATTTGAGCTATATATTTTATTACTTCCTATAGAGATGTACGTTTGTATTTATATAAAGCACATCTGTTCCTATAAAAGTGTGCAATTTAATTATTTTCTAAAATTATTATTGAGAAAAATCAAAATATAACGGAAAAACGTGCACAAATGTCTATCAATCAGTTTTTGTGTAACATCTTGAAAATACAATAAGTATTATTACACACGGTCAATCCTCCTCTCTTAACTTTTAGACCAGTACAGAAATGCCAGCCTATGAAAATGGTATAAAGTGAAAAAAGACGTAGTAGATTGAAACCCAATGAAAAAAGAAAATTAAATAACAAAATGACAGCAATAAGTATTTACGGATGTTCTAAGTTCGGGAAAAGGGTGTGGAGGGGGGCGTGGTTGAATTTTGAAGGTTAAAAACGGTTTATCTCTATTTGAAAAAATTTATATGACAAAGTTATAGGAGAGATCTACAACTTTTGAATTCACACCTTTTTCACATCACCTTAAAATTTATGTGAAATATTCAAATATATGTGTAATCCAACCTTCAGAAGGTCGAATACTCGAACAAGTTTTTGTTGTTTATTTTTTATTTTTTTCTTTTAAAAATTAAATTACCTCTTGCAGACTTTTACTAACATTATTATTAAACAAAGTAACAATAACTCACGTTGTGAAACGAATTATAAAAGACGCGTAAAGTTTTCATTATCTCTCTGGCATTATAGGTCTGCATCTGTTGTATCTGTTGTCTTTGTATGAATATATGGTACTTCATTATTCGCTCTTCTACATATAATAGTGTTCAATATAATAAAAGCATTAATAGAAATACCAGTGTTAGGTTAGGTTAGGTCATAGGATTGATTCTAAATCAATGAATCTGACTTGGATAGCTGTTGGTATTTTCTTTTACCCATAAAATCCTAAGTGTGGATCAACAGAGAGAGTAACGAAGCGCTTTGAGCTTTAATTATATTATTTATATTTACTTACCTATCTTTTAATATATCGCCCATTCGCTCTATAAGGTAGTTGTGTTCTGTAAGTTATGGTTATTCTGCTGTGTGTAAATAAAATCCGTGTGTAAATAAAATCCGAGCACCCGAGGTTGATCGGCAAGAAACTTATGAAAAAAGGACGTAAAATTATTCATTTTGTGATATGTATAATTAACTTTAGAAACCTAGTTTTTTATTTTCACTGTTTCAACTAGTGATCATATTTCCATGCACACCGCCGTGTGTGTAAAATTAAATAGTACGTATTTATTCAATTATCACTGAACAAAAGAAAGTTCTCAGATACACTTTTGATCCGAATGAACTAGAAAAGAAATGTACTCGTGCATATTTACTCGTACATACTGACAATAAGCGATGCTCAAGCCAGTTCTGCAGAGTATTAAGGAGATAAGGTATTGTAGGTACGTATGTATGTGGTTATGTATTAATACATAAATAAAAATCGAAGTATCAAAAAATAATCAAATCAAGCTTAAGTTAACAAGATCACTGAATACATACACACACATTCGTACATATGTACGTCATGTTGTGAGAGTTAATCGATTAAAAGAACTATGAAGCAGCAAACAAAATGTGAGACTAATGCATTTGTTCGCTCATCAACCGAGCTGAATGTATAAATATGAGGTTTCAATAGTTCCACACTTCAGTTGTGCTCCGAATCCAGCGCGAAAAGTCAATCGAATACGAAATCCAATATGAAATTCTTCCTTGTGATCCTTGCAGTCGTTGCACTGGTACGTACGTCATCAATATAAAACAGAAATGAGCCGTTACTATACGTTATATAATCTCTCTTTTAGGCATACGCCGACGATGAGTGGGTTCCGAAAAATGCTGCCGAAATCAAAGTTATCCGTCAAGAATGCTTCAAGGATTTCCCACTCAGCGAGGAATACATTCAAAAAATGAAGAACTTCGAATATCCCGATGAAGAGCCCGTACGTAAATACTTGCTTTGTACCGCTAAGAAATTGGGTGTCTTCTGCGAACATCAGGGCTATCATGCCGATCGTGTTGCCAAGCAATTCAAAATGGATTTGGATGAAGCTGAGGTCGTTGCCATCGCTGAGGGTTGCGTGGACAAGAACGTAGAAGGCAGCAGCGCCGATGTTTGGGCCTATCGTGGTCACAAGTGTCTGATGGCCAGCAAGATCGGTGATCGTGTGAAGGCTTACATCCAAAAGAGCGTAGAGGAAGCAAAGAAACAATAAGTTACCAGTACTGCCCTGCGTTGAACAATAAAGTATATTTTATTAAGTATTATAATAGTGTGGTTATGTTTGCTTTATTTAAATTTGTACACAAAGGTACGATTTTCATTTATCATACATCCTTCTGAACATCTAGCTTCGAATCATGTGACAAATAGATGTTTAGAAAGGCACGACGCTATTACAGTATTTTCTTAATGAATCACTTAATAAAACAAGAAATATTAATAAATTCTCTGCTCGAAAAGGCGAAGCTATATAATATAGACAGTATCGCGCCTCACTGATAAGCGATTCAGTTATCAAATATGAGAGTGTAAGATTTAAAGTACACATATCATTTTATTTCAACGCAGTATTTCATTATATTCCATTTTTTTTTTTTCAAAAGGGTGAAGAAACTTGTCTTGAAACTCGGCAATACCCGATAGCAAGTAAGTCTATTAGCGCTTTAACCATAAAATTTAAGTATATTCAACTAGTACAACAAGAAAAATTGTAATGATAATCTCAAAGTTAATTCTTTAAAGCAATAATAGAAATTTGCTTTATAAAATATTTTTTTTAAATTTAAGTGAATATATTGATTTAACTAATGAATGCTGGGTAAAAGAAAATCGTTGTATGTAGTATATGGGAGCTGATAATAAGTATATAAATTATTATGCGTTCCCTTAATTTTGCAAAAATACCGCATATATTGACCAATTTAAACGGTATAAATTCAGCTGAAGATTTGGAATTATTATATTAGATATATAAGGTCTAGGTGTTAATGAACTGATATTATCCACTTTCTCTTCGATTTTCATTAAAACACCTGAAAGATTGTTTAAGGTAAAACGTCAGGCGATATAAATGGGATATCTTCGTTAGAGCTTGATAATGCTATGCACCAAATTCTGTCGAAATTGGTTGAGTAGTTCCTGAGATTTAGATAAAATACCATGCTAATGATGGTGTAAAAGGAGGTGCAATATGAAATATAACAGTATAAGGTCAACCTGAAGGACAGAAATTTGTATATTCGGTTTATCAGGGCTAGACAAGATATGGACCGACATCGACCATATTTTTACGCGATTGTTAACATATATTAGCACCACTATTTTTGTCAAGTTTATTTACGACTGAATTATTTATTGCGAAGTAAAGCAAGTTGACGGAAATAGAAAATATCGGTCAATCTGTGAGATCTATTATCGAAATTCGGAGATAATCTTTTTCAAATAATAATGTACTCTTGTGGGTTATGGTTAAAATTGCATCAATACTTCACGCTGCTCCCATATATCTAATACATGTAAAGACTTTCGTCTTCCGGTTGACTTTATACAATACATAACGGTCAATTTGCGAAGTTTCCTAATAAACTTCTACCTCCGCTTCCATATAATTTTCTACAAATAATGATTTTCATTATTTTAGACAACTTTAAGCTCCATATGTCGGTCAGTGTGTGTGTTATGTACATAAAATTGCGTGGAACCATATTCTTGATTATACTTGAGTAATGCCACAAGCTACCGCAATCATTCCAGAACTTCTTCTAGCCCAAATACAACCGGTATAATGATTTCCGACTTTATAATTGTCTTTCAGCAGTTTACTTTGGTATTATATTATTTTCCGTTTCATTGATTGATTTTTTCCTCATTTTTTCAATATATAATATTAAATTTAGTATTTTTGATTGAGTTTATCTCACATATACTTATCTCATTTTAGTTAATTAAGTTGATTTTAGTAACAATATCTCGGATATGAAGCAAAATATAGTAACGAGGCTAAGTGAGTATACGACCTATAATATACATAAGTTAATAATATACCAAACAGTTTTGTAATCACCCTTTCGTCGATTACACTGGTTAACAAAAATTTAACTTTTGTCACATGAAAGCTCATATCAAATTTTGAATGTTTGTGTCTTTTAGTGGCTTTAGACAAAATAATAATATGTAAATGAAAAAAATTTACACGTCAGAATTTCTTGTAACATCAAAACATATATTTTCTTAAAAATACAAACATAATCTATATTTAGAGAAATTATTGCTTAGGAAAGAGAAATGTTTCTGATTTCTGTGAATATTTGGCTTCTAAAAGATCTTCTTTAAGTCTCTCACCTCACCCCTCACAGTGCCAAAATTTGTCGGAAAGAAAGCAGTTCAGAGTCCAGCATATGTATTCTTACAGACATACCATTTTACAAAGCTTTATAAGACATTAACGTTTATTTATTAAGTCTTTGTAATTTGTCGATTTATGGTTTCCTCGAACAATTTGGACAACGTTCACAAAACATTTCCATTCAGTTTTTCATCAAAGCTCTTATCATTTATCATTTATGCCGTATTTTGTGAACCTATAAATATTCCCTCTTTAATTTTTGTTTCGCTGAGTTTGGAGAATTTATTTTTCAGTAAATCGGTTTGGAGGCTTTGGCACAAGCAGTTCGGCACTATGTGGAATGGGTATGTTAGCCAAAGACAAGTTTGGATACTAGGTTTTGGACTTGGTTTTAATGCCTTTGTATGAGCAAACACAAATAACAATCAATCACAAGGTCCTCTGGCTTGGCATATGTCTGGGATCTTGTTTAGCCCAACCTAAAAGCAGTTTCACACATGAGTAAAAACACGTCAAGTGGACCCCTCATTTTCCACTTGATCATCGAATTTGAATGTGAGTATCATGAGCAAGTAATCCCCCGCTCAGTTTTTTTAAATTTTAATTTTACCAACAATTTTTTTTTAATAGAAAATTTTACTACTTTTAGTTAAAAAATTAATAATTAGAAAACTATTGGTGATTTTTTAATGAAATTTTCAGGAGGAGAGTTTCAGGAGTCATTAAAAATTTTTTTTAGTATTTTGCAATAAGCATTAAAGTAACGAAATCCACAAAAAAATTTGACTGATCGCGATTAGATTAAGCAAAAACTATTTTTTAAGTCGGGCGGTCCGAGCTGCCGGTATAGCGCGCTACCGCGCGTCATTGACTTATCTTTAGAGTTACTTAGTAATTATAAATAAGGAATAATACTGCATGTTTTAATTAAAAATATCGTTATTTTATGATTAATTTTATTTCAACAAATGAAAGATAATAAATTAAATATTTTTTCATAAATAAAAAAACAAAGAAGTTAAATAATTCTTAAATTATTTCTTATAACTTATACGTATTGCTTTATTTCTTTTTATACTCTCGCAACCTGTTGCTACAGAACCTGTTGTTCACCTAACGGTTGTTTGTATCACCTAAAACTAATCGAGTTAGATATAGGGTTATATATATATAAATGATCAGGATGAAGAGACGAGTTGAAATCCGGGTGACTGTCCGTCCGTCCGTCTGTCCGTCCGTGCAAGCTGTAACTTGAGTAAAAATTAAGATATCTTTATGAAACTTGGTAGACATGTTTCTTGGTAACGTGAGACGGTTGGTTTTGCAGATGGGCATAATCGGACCACTGCCACGCCCACAAAACGCCATTAATCAAAAACAAATAAATTGCCATAAATAAGCTCCGCAATAAGATACAAGACTGTTATTTAGTACACAGGATCACATTAGAGAGGGGCATCTGCAGTTAAACAATTTTTTTTAAGTGGGCGTGGTCCCACCCCTAATAAGTTTAATGTGCATATCTCCTAAACCGCTAAAGCTATAATAACAAAATTCACTGGGAGCAAATGTTTTTAGTACCTCTATTGACTGTGTGAATTGGGTGAAATCGGGTGACAAGCCCGCCCACTCCCCATATAACGGTACTGTTAAAAAATACTAAAAGCGCGATAAACCAAACACTAAACACGCCAGAGACATTAAATTTTATCTCTGGGATGGTATGAGATGACTTTATAGGAAACGCGTTCAAAAGGTGAGGTGAAAACCCATATCTTGGGATCTGCTTAACCGATTTCAACCAAATTCGGTACATAACGTTTTTTTAATATTTCTATGTTATAGTGCGAAAATGGGCGAAATCGGACTACAACCACGCCTATTTCCCATATAACACCAATTTAAATTCCATCTGATTCTTTCACTTTCCACTATGCATATCAAGCAACAATGACTATATCGGGGTAAAACTTTGCGTGAATAATACGTTTAAAGTATGCCACCTTGTGGCCAAAAGTTGTCTAAATCGAACCAAAACTGTTCAAGCCCCTAAGTACTAAATATGTGGACCCCAGTGCCTATAGTTGACCTTCTACCGAAAATATCAGTCAATCCACAAAGAAATCTCAAACGAGTATACCATTTGACTTTGCGAGAGTATAAAATGTTCGGTTACATCCGAACTTAGCCCTTCCTTACTTGTTTTAATTCATTTTTAAGTCCAGCTAATTGCAATTTAAAATTTTGATGGATTTTACACACACACATATTATGAGTTCCATTTTTGCCAGCAGATATACATTTCCGAGGTCGGAGTTTTTGAAATTTGGATAGTCCAATCTTTTCGTCAGGATAAGCTTCTTTAAATTTTTTGTGTATTATTGTCTTCCCATTTTCAATCACCGAAACATAATCTTTCATACCAGGCATTACGCGGCTGACATCATCGGATAGATAGAAAGCTTCAATACGATCGAGGGTTTCAATGTTTAGAGATTTTCCTCTCTTAATCATAGGTTGCGATGCGAATCCTCGTTCTTGTCGTATTTTTTTTGCAGTTGTCACCATTCGTTTGGAAACTGTAAACTCTTTCCTTATCATTTTAATCGACCAATCTGTAGAAGCGTAGTCAAAACCTAAATTTTATCAGCTCTACTAGTTTTATCATTGAATGCAGATTTAAAGTTATTAAGTAAAAGCTCTTTAGGATCAATTTCACTATTTACATTGTTAATATTATCCGTAAATTTACTCACAACATTTGTTAAAACGTTTTGACATTCTTTATTACTTGAGACTCTCTTGATTTTGATTGGAGGTTCACTAATTTCCGTTAAAAATTTATTAACCTTATCAATTTTTAATTTGTTATCTACCGGTTTGCAATGTAGCATCTTTTTCTTCGTCATCTTCGATAACGTCATTTGACTTATCAGGCTTGTTGACTTTAGGACATTTATTCACCGATAATTCACCAAGAATTTCAGGTTTTCGGCCTGAATAAATAGTCCATTTACATGAATTGCACAAATAATTCCCAATAAAATCTTCAAAATCATGAGCGCGGTTTTTTGTTATTAAAACTAAGTTTTTAATGACTTTTTTTCATTAAATAGATTGCGGCATTTCTTGATTAATTATCAACAAAATTACGAATGGCTCGAGATATTCCTTTGTTGTTCACATTCTGGTAGATACTGGGACATAAAATATTAAGATGCTTTCATATTTATTTCTTTTAACCGCAAAGGATTTAGTTCGAATATCATTTTATTTAAAACAAGAATTGTAATGTTAATTGGATGTTTTATAATGAATAGAAAAAAATATGGGGTAAAAAAGTATGGATTTTTAATACTTAAAGAATGGGAAATTCCAGTTAAAAATTTGGCCTTGAAATATTAATAGCGGGTATTCAATACATTCTGGTGGATTAGGGAATTCCCGTCTTAAGTATTTCTTTGAAACCATTAGCGGGTATTATGCATATTGTTCTAACACATTCATGGTAATTCACTGCAAGCATCATCCCAACATACAAATGAAATATGCAACACACTCTAAGTGTCGCGTTGCCGACCCGCACAAACATAAACCGCTATACCGGCAGCGGTTTTTTTTTTGCTTAATCTCATCGCGATAAGTCAAATTTTTTTGCGGATTTCGTTACTTACGCAATAAACATTAGCAAAATACTTAAAAAAAAATTTTAAATTTTTTGAGGGGAAGTCATTAAAATTTTCATTTCTTAACTTAAAAGTTAATTAATTTAATTTTGAACTATAACTATAAATATAAATTTCATTAAAAAATCACCAATAGCTTTCTAATTATTAATTTTTTAACTAAAAGTAGTAAAAATTTTCATTTAAAAAAAATTGTTGTTAAAATTTAAAAAAACTGAACGGGGGATTACTTGCTCATGATACTCACATTCAAATTCGATGATCAAGTGGAAAATGGGAGGTCGACTTGACGTGTTTTTACTCACATGTTACACCACAATTTATGTGGAATCCAGGATTTATCTTGATTCCTCACAGAAAATCCAAAATAGTCTACATAAATACAAGTAGCACTGTTCAATTAGTGACGTGAAATTACGACGCAGAGATTTAATAGTTATTTCTCCAAACACATAACAAAAACTGTCGGGGTCGTTAGTAACTATACGTTTGTATGATGTACAATAAGTTATTTATTATTATTACAATATATATGATATTGTTAATGAAGGTACACCAACATAAACAAAAATCATTACAAAGTTTGTGTGTCAAAAATTATTTATATGAAGTTTTGCCAACACCAAAGGTATTTCAGCGGCTTTGATCCTTGCAAATTGCAAGAATACAAAATATGTGGTTACACCCGAACTTACCACTTCCTTACTTGTTATAACCTCGCGGGTATGCCATGTAGTGCGAGTAAACCGATCGAACAGCAAACAAAGTGTGGCACACGCAATACATTTGCTCGCTCACCAACTGAACTGAATGTACTATAAATACGAAATTCCAATAATTCCATAAATCAGTTGGGCTCTGAGTCAAACGCGAAAAGTCAATCGTATACAAAGCCCAAATCCAAAATGAAATTATTTATTGTGGTCCTTGCAGTCGTTGCACTGGTACGTACATCACACACATGCATACAACCACAAAAAATAACTATCCAGTTACTATACATTATACAATCTCTCTTTAAGGTATACGCCGATGAATGGATGCCGAAAAATTTTGCAGAAATCAATGTCATCCGCCAGGAATGCTTCAAGGATTTCCCACTCAGCGAGGAATACATCCAAAAAATGAAGAACTTCGAATATCCCGATGACGAGCCCGTACGCCAGTACTTGCTTTGTACTGTTAAGAAAGTGGGTATATTCTGCGAGCGTGAGGGTTATCTTGCCGACCGTGTTGCCAAGCAATTCAAAATGGATTTGGATGAAGCTGAGGCCATTGCCATCGCTGAGGGTTGCGTGGACAAGAACGTAGAAGGCAGCCGCGCCGATGTATGGGCCTATCGTGGTCACGAGTGTGTCTTGGCCAGCAAGATCGGTGATCGTGTGAAAGCTTACTTCAAAAAGAGCGGAGAGAACACAAAGAAGTAATAAATTACTAGACGAGGAATGAGATCGATTCCGTTACAAAGAAAAACAATTAGTTGTAGTGTAAACGTTATAAAATTCAATATTGTGAAATATTATGGGTATAATTGTGGGAAGGGTAAACCTATTTGAGTATATAAATATATGTGTGGCTCAGTATAAACACTGTTTGTTAAATGTCTTATGTTGTGTGTAAAGTCTATGTTAGTTAACTAGTAAACATAGTAACCTGAACATAAGGTGGGGTTGGATAAGTCCTTCGATCAGGTCAGGATGTGAGGTACTTCAATGAAACGCAGGGAGCACTTTATTCTGTTAATAGTATATTTTATCGCCAAAAATACATAAAATCGGGTCAATATTACCCTCTCATATACCTAACATAAGATTTTCAATTTTCCGGTTGGCCATATGATATATATGTAAAGTAATTGAATGCTGAAAGTATATTTAATTAGCTAAGATTTTACGCTATGCCTGATATATAATGTACTGATTATCGTTTTTTTAGCAGACTTTAGCTCCAACATGTTCCCGAATATACTTACCTAAGTAATGCCAAAAACAAACGCTATCAGTTCAGACCTTCTCCTTGCCAAAATCCACCCGATATAATGATTTCCGACTTTCTAGTTGACTTTAAGTCGTTTATGTTGGTCAAAATTATGATATTTCAATGAAATTAAGTGGGTAAGCTTTCGTAAACATAATGTGGTTTAGCGCTTATTCATGCTAATAATATTAAGAGAAAAGATTTCATTGTTTGAATTGAATAGGCTCCGAAACTATTTGATGCATTTGAAAAATTCTTTCGTCGTTGAGAAACTGCACTCTCTCCGTTAACATGGGCAATATTATATTTTCAAAAAAGTTTGGGATCCTTAGTAAAACGCCAATAATAAAACCCTAATACTATCTAACTGTACCTTTGTATAACTTTTTGAATTATTCGGTGCGGGTATTCCATTCAAAAGATATCACGATTTTCAAAAATGTATGTATTAGAAAAAATTCGCGTGGTGACTGATCGGCTATGCTGCAACATAATATGCGATGTAAGCGTGATTGGACCACGAGAGGGCAGTCAATATCATGAAATAAAGTGAATATTGAACACAAATAATATTACAAGTTCGATGTTCACATCTCATCGTCTATATGAGGCCCTCTTCCCGCAAGTGGGATGGCAAATAGAGTGATCTGCTAGTCACTAAGTTAATGATTTCCATTTCATTGGCTTATTACCCAATTTAGTCTCTTTGGTTGAGTTTATATAACATATATCTCATTTGAGTTAACTATGTTGATTTTACTACACATATCTTGGATATAGAGGAATATATAGTAATGAGACTAAGTAAGTCTACGACCGATAATATATGTAAGATAAATAAGATTGTAATCCTTTCACCCTTTCATCGAATAATGAATGCAGTACTATTAATTTAATATTATATAATGTTTTGCCAACAACTGAAAGTATGTCCACAACTTTAATCCCAGCTGATGTTCGGTTTCACCCGAACTTACCACTTTCTTACTTGTTATAACCTTGAACTAAGTGACCGATATGTTACAAAAGAACTATAAAACAGCAAACAAAGTATGAAACAAACGGAATATATTTGCTCGCTCACCAACTGAGCTGAATGTACAAATATGAAGTTTAAATAGTTCCATAAATCAGTTGTGCTCTGAGTCCAGCACGAAAAGTGAATTGAATGCAAAGCCGAAATCCAGAATGAAATTGGTACATACATCACACACATACATACAACCACAAAACATAAATGCCCAGTTACTATAATCTATATAATCTCTTTTTTAGGCAAACGCTGAAAATAAATATAGATGCCGAAAATGCTGCAGAATTTATTGTTATCCGCCAGGAATGCTTCAATAATTTCCCAATCAGCGAGGAATACATCCAAAAAATGTAGATCATCGAATATTCCGATGAAGAGCCCGTACGCAAGTACTTGCTTTGTCCTGTTAAGAAATTGAGTTTATTCTGGGAGCGTGAAATTATTAGATATTAACCGTTTGATATATTGATTAGCTATAAAAATATTTTTTTATGATTTTATGGTTTATTAAAACAACTAATTTTTGAACTTTAAATACTAAGTAAAGTGAATTAAACATTTTATTTCTTCTTTTATTGTATTTTTTATTATTATTAATAGAAAATTAATACTACGGAGCATACCATCACAAAACATTTCATCCAATACATTTATAAACTAGGTTTCTTTAATTTCCATTGATTGAAAATTTTTATTAGTGATCTTGAACGGCTTACTTCCATAAGAGCGGAGAGAAAACTAAGAAGCAATAAATTACTAGCACTGTCATTCATTGAACTATAAATTATATTTTATTAAGTATTATAATTGTGTGGTTATGTTGGTTTAGATTTAGTTTATCCTATCGAATGTTTTGCTTGTGACATAGCAGAGCCCTAAATTGGTACAACCTCCATTATTTTGCGTTTAGTAGGTGTTTGTTTATGACGTCAAAATTTTGTCTGGCATTTTTTGTGTAAATGTTTTTAGTTTTAAGAGCAGAAAAAAGTCGGATTGAGTGAAATATGGTGATAATGGTGATGGGCGATGAGTCTCGTTTCATGTTCGGCTAAAAGTCAGTCACAACCACGTTAGAATGTAACGACGCGCTCAGGTATTTTGGTCAAATGTAGTATTGACACGCTTGACATACAAAATATTAACCGAAATGTGTTGAGTCGATCCATAAGAGATGTTGAGATTCTCTGCTACCTCTCCCAACTTACAATTTTAGAGCATTGTTCCTTTATAGTTTTCGGTGCTATTGTTATACTAATTTAGGAACAAAAAATTATATCGATTTAGTGCGCGCCAACAATTTAAATGGACCCATCGGTATTGTGGAAATATTTAGTACAAATATTTTATGTATATTTATGTAGTGGCCATCAATCAAAGAGTACATAGACTACTATATGTAATAAGCAGTTATATTACTTTTAATGGATAAGGTCATGATCTCTGAAATGAAGATCATGGAATGGATAACTTTGTTGTTACTTTCAAATGTAATTTGTTTAACAAGATAGCTGAGTTCAAACAAAGCGTGCAGTGAAGCGACGAATCGAAGACCCTTGCATGGGTATACTTATACAATGTACTTCGAAATGTTCATCACCAAACCTCTCTAGCACGCACATTTACACGCTTCACCGATTCGCACAAAATATTTTAAGTTCGTAATTGGTATTTTCTTTGATTTGATTGATACAATTATTTTGCATTTATATTGACATTAATGATAAATTAATTATCAGCGTAAGGAGTTACAGGTGAATGCCAACTCGTCAATTTGATGTGCACTCACAGCACTCTGAACTGAAATTAAGTCGTTAGCGATATTATACTACATATTATATATGAGTTATGATATTATAAATATTTACCTATAAGTTTTATTTCGTGCTTAGGCAGCGTTAACTAGGGAACAACAAAATTGATATAATAAGCGTTAACGATTTTTTTTACAATGTTTCTTAAAATTGTGACTATTTACCTTCTATAAAAATATTTACGTTTTTCTCTTCGGCCCATAAAACCCCCTAAAGGCAAGTTTTTAAGCTTTTAAAACATTTTTGAACTTATCTAGCAATTTGGGACCCAATTCAACCGTTCTTTTAATAGTGTAATCCAAAAACGCTAAAAGAAAATATTATTGTAAAAAAAAGTTTTCGATCTACTTTATTCCACACGAATGTGTTATCCTTTTCATTTCTTGAACTGTTAGTTGAATGTATATTAGGCCTTTTGAATAATCAGCAAACAATTAATTCAAATATTATGAATATAATATGATTAACGGTTTGCTTAATATTGAGGGTTTTTGATTGTGTTCTTCGTTTTTACAGGCTAAAAATATAATTGGTCCGCAATTAGGATATTTTGTTTTAAAAGAAAGAGTCCAAAAATATTTATTGGTTAGGATATTTAATATAAAATATAAATTTATATTTCTTATTGACGATTTTCCTTCGCACTCCTCTATAATTTTTAATGTAGTTTGTATAATATACGCGAATCATCGCCAAGGTATCTCATAGCAGGAATGGAATTAGACAATTTTAATTGTGCCGAATTGGGTCCAAAAAATGTAATAAAATGTAGTTGACAGTGTCGAAATTAATCGTGTATATTGATAGGTTTTTATAATACATAATGTGCATTACTACTTATGTGTATACATAAATTAACAAATAAGTCACCTATACTTAATAATTAGTTTCATCAAGTTTTCTCCATATGGTAAGTTTATTCTCACCTATCTATAGCCAAATAGTGCTCAACAAGTAATGCCGAAGCTCGGGTGTAGCCGAACATTTCCTACACTTGCCACTTGTAAGGATCAAAGCCTGGGAAATACTTTCAGGTGTTGATTATACAAGTATTAGGGATACAAGGTTTCTAAGCCTTAACATTCATATTAACACTAGAACTACGAAGATTTACCATATACCTATATTAAATAGTCTCTCTCTTTCTGAAAATTAGAAGCGTAAGAACAAACTTATCTATAATAATATTCTATACGCAAGTTTAATAAAAATCATGACATTATCGTAAAATATTAAATAGGAATAAAGAGGAAATGGTATAAGTAAATGATGCAACTAGTAATTTTGACCGGTTCGTAGTTCTAGTGTTAACATTCACATTAAACAGTAAAACAAATAATTATTAGGTAACTTGTCCACGTAATTTCATTAAAATATCACAGATTTTGGCCAACCTAAATGGTTTAAAAATAGGTGAAATGTCGGAAATTACTATTTAGAGTTTATTAAAGGCAGAAAATGTCTGAGGTGATTGGGGCTAAGGGAATTATTTGATCTGTTTCAATCTATTTGTGACATACAGGCATACTATTATAAGAAAAATATTTTCACCCGATGCATTCATTGGTTCTTGATTTGTGTACTAGAGAGTGAAAGAATCAGATGAAATTAAAAAATATGCTATATGGGAAGTAGGCGTGGTACTCTGTTGCAATATGTATGTAGCAAGAGTATATAAATAATACGTGCACCGTTGAAATGCCCACAATTTTACATTTACCTATCTAATGTGATAAAAATACACACTATCACGCTTAACTATTTGTCAAAGCATTTTTTTTTCTCAAAGTTAATTTCAATATTATAAAAAATTGTGTGTATGCTGTCCTACTGCATGGTTTTTAAAATATCGTATTTTTCGCAAATAAAAATATGTACATATCTGATATATGTTAGTATTTGGTTGAAAAATATTGAGACTACTAATCGGAGTTTCATTGTACATTTGCAGTGTTGTAGTTAAGTAAGCTAGATAATACTAAATGAAAGTTCTAGGAAAAGGCTCTCTAGCAACAATTGGCTACCCCGAAAGAACAATCCCTCGTCATATGTATGCACATATCTGGCAGGATAATTGAGAGTTTACCTCGTGCGTTCTCTACGTACATTTAAAAACCCTATCTTGTAATCAAAACTCGGTCAGTGAATACCATTTATTGGCTAAATGAACTTATGGTATACTCTCCGAAGCGGACTTTTTAGTTTCGAATATAAAGAAAAGTCACATGGACACAAATCTGACGAATATGGTACTGTGATTGAGCAATAATTCTCTTCGTGTTTAGCCGAAAAGTGATCCCAATTATAAAAGAATATGAAGGAAGATTATCCTGGTAAAAAATCCATGAATTTTCTTCCCACAAATCCGGTTCTTCACGACGAATTGCTTAACGTAGACGCCTAAACCCGTCAAGTAGTATCTCTTATTGACTCTTTGACCCTGTAGAATGAATTCACGGTAATCAAAGAATACAATAAGCATCACCTTAGTTTTTGATCGCCTTTGACGTGGCTTTTTCGGTTTCAGCTAATTTTGGAGCGCCATTCGCTAGATTTAAGAACAGTTTCATCGTCATTCTCATAAACCGACATATCGTCACCAGTAATGATGCGTTTGAGCGGTGCAAATCCTGTGGGGTTCTCAGCTACATTGTCAAGCATCTCTTTTTCGACTTCTACTGGACGACGTTTTTGGAAAAGATTCAGGTCTTTTTGTGGGTTTGGGCTTATTATACTGCGGAAATATCCCTGTTATGCAAATTATAGTTTCAAGTTTTACGGTTACATTTACATATTACATACTGACACAAAACACCAGGGAAAACTTAGCAATACCAAGTGGAAGATCTAAAAGATCCAAGCAGTACCAAAAAAATAATAAGATAACAACATGACTGCTCTAAATTTTTATGCAAGTCGAAAAAAAAATTATTTAAAAGAATTTTTGTAATCACAAAATTTTCATTGCTTATTTACCAAAATTTTTTTATTAATATAATAAGGTATATCACAAACTATAATGGTGATAATCTATAGTTTAAACAGTGCACCTCCAACTCTTACTCTGATCTCTTTAAGATCTCTTTAATATCTTCACCGAGTTTTGTTGAACAAGTACACTTCATAATATGGTAGGCTCTCTCGTCATCGGTGTCCTCCTTGGTCTTTGCATCACAATCATGTACAATGGTTTTGATCTCGTCTTCCGTTAAATCGCCTTTGAACTGCTGGGCAACACGATCGGCATTAAAGCCTTTACCATCCTCGTAGAGTCCCCATGCTTTACTAGTGCACAGGACATACTTTCGCACTGACTCTACATCGGGATATTCATTCTCTTTCCTCTTTTCGAATTCCTCATCGCTGGCTGGCACTTGTTTGACACATTCCTCGCGAATACTTTTAATATCATCAACGGTCTTTGGGCTCCAGTCATCGGCTTTTACCTAAAGTGGCAGTATTCACAATTTATTACCTCATAAGGATACTCAAAGCTTTTATTAAGTTTACTCACCAGCGCGACGACTGCAAGCATCACAATACACATAAAGTATTTCATTCTGATTTTCTCGGTTGACAACTTCACTTAGTGAACTACTAAATTTCTTCATTGTAGCCTCCTATTTATACTGCTGCAGGTTGATAACTGCATTTGTCCCTTTACAAGTAGTATTAATTACCTTCGTAGATCATCAATACTTTTCTATTTATGTAACCGACGAGCTGATTAAAGTTTTTATTTGATCGGCATATATATTATATTTATGCCCATGTATTGAGAGGCCCTATGTTCCACCTATGCGCTATGGTAAAATATATATACGAGTATACATATAGGTATTGAGTATTGTATATGTTTAATAATTACCGTTTCAAACGAACTACTATTTACATTTGTAAGATTCGCAGAATAAAACACATTTTGATCAAATGTTAAATTGGTAACCCCATTTGGATTATTTGGATTTGTGTATAGGGTGCTTGTTTTATGTCGGTGTGGAAACTTTAAGTTAGACATGCTTTGAATACCTAAGTTTAGTATAGCTCTAATCTGAAATCGCTGCGCTCATAAACAAAAAATACTTAACAAATAGTCGTTTAGGAATTGATGTCGAAGGAATTCCACACTGTGTGGTGATATTAATAATCAAAACTGCCATTTTGGACGAATGAAAATTCCAGATCCATGAAGCCATTGCATGGCCAAAAAGTCACATAACCTAAACCACCATATTTTTGGCTCATTATTTCTGACCACAAACGCTCGAAAAAGGCCTTGATTTTTGCTGGTTTCAACAAATTGGCAAATACGGAGCTTTAAATTTTAGATTTTAGTATCGTTTTTAGTTCTGAGTTCTCATTTAAAAGCAAACTATCGAACCGAACAAGGCAAGTCTATAAGAACTTTTCCAACGCGCACCTTTTTCTTCAACATTATTCGAGATACAAAAATGAACTAAGCTGGAAAGCTGCCGCTAAAGAGACAGCGCGAAATCGTTGGCAAATCTAACTAATCATATTGAACAATTGTTCAAAAACAGCTGAATATGGTTGAGGTTGTAGGTTTTTCAACTGTTTATCCCAAAGGAGTACCACATTTCACTTTGAAACAGTGGCTTGAACGGATGACTCAATTTTAACACTAGCGACCACGGAACAGTGGAAATTTGGGCCTTTATCTTGACTGGTTTCTTAGACTACTTTGTCACTATAGGTAATGACAATAAATCTCGATTGAAGTCAAATACTCGTATAATGAAAGACTTTTACATAAATGAATAGATACACAACTTTTTTAACGACCCTGTATATATTATATTATCAGTTAGAGCATCGGTCAACAAAATACTGAGGTGAGTTAAAGTAAATAATAATAAATAATAAAATAAATTTAAACAACATATATAATACATAAATATATATATATATTTTTTTTGTTATTTTGTATGTACTATTTATTATAATGCTAGGAAAATTATTGACAAATAACTGTTTGTGCTGATTTGCGAAGGTGAAGCTAAACAGTGATTATCAAGCCAATACTAAATCATTCGCTTTATAATTGGTGCACCTATGCCTATACAACAAATATAGTTTGTTCAAAAATAAAAACAAGAATTAAAAAGCAAAGAAGAATGTTATCAATATTTTCTGACGATTTTGTGTTTACAATTACGTGAGTGCATATTTAAAAATATCACTTATTGAGGTAGCATATATCTTAATTGGACATAACTTGTAAGTGAGAACATAAGTTTCGTCATTTCGTTTAAATTTTTATATACAAATCGATAATAGTCATCGATAAGAGAGTTTATACAAAAAAATATTCAACATTTACTGGACATATTATTAATTATCCAGCCTGTATCAGCTCATCAGCTATAAGTCCATGTTGCTTAAGTATTTCTTTAACAACTGCTCGACAGTGCACCTATAATTTCAGACTATGCACAGTCACGCACTGCGAATTACCAACGAAAAACACCGAAGTTTCCCATGCGATCAGGCCAACAACTCTCACTTTGTACCATTCCTACTTCATTCTTCATACACTTTCAGCCTTCGTGCTAGGACTACCTCTTCACGATCCGTATATTTCATGGGCTTGGCCAGAATACATTGAAGACCATTTAGTGTCAATTGATTATTCAACGCAGTAGTCATTCGGGAAAAAAATAGCATCGTATTTCCCACATTAACCATGCCGCAACAGCGTAATACGACTCAGAAAGCTAATGTAACTGAAGATATGGTAACTCTACAACTGAAAATGTAGAAACTTTAACCGCATAATAAACTAATGAACCTAACTGGGCAACAAATTTGTCTGAATACTACTATTTTTTGCTGCTTATGTTTCGGGATATCAGTTAACATTCACACCCATGTACAATTTAGTGCAGAGCTAGTGGGTTAGCTTCTTATAATTTCTCAGAACGCCTATACTTATCTAGACGTATGTAACAATTTTTTACGTAATGTTGGGAACTTTGAGGTTGGAAAAGTTTTTTGGAGGGGCACCTCCAACTAATTCACTAAGTATTCCATCAAAATATTTTTATTCTATGAAGCACTTTCCTAACATTCGTACAATTTTACAATCTAATTTTCGACCGTATTCGAAATGAGCCCTATCTTACTCTTTAAATTATTCAATATTTAATGACCTGTTTTTATGTTTGACTTAAAAAAAATTCCCAAACTGCTTCTGTTTATTCATCTTGGCATAGGGTTCGCTTAAAGAATGTAAATACAAAACACATTTTATTTTGTCGACAGTAAACTATGTGTTATTGTTATTTTTATTATTTTAAAACATATTTTAAATGAAATGCAGAGACAATTCTGAAATTCACGCTAAGGTTTCAGTTACACATTATTTGTATATTATGAAATGAAAGTATCAGAAACAGCTTACGATTCTACAAGCACACTTAGGAAAAACGTCAAGGGCCATATGCCAGATCCGAAATACAAAATAAATATTTTGAAGTTTTCAAATTGTAACAGACACAAAAGTGAAATCGAAAAGGAACTTCAGTCTCTCAAATGAACGCGTTAATTTTCTTTTGCCTCTCGGATATTTTTTTAAACATCCCCAAAACCGCTTTGGCATTCAACAACAGTGAGGACTCCTATAGCGAAGATCTGACGGAAGCTGAAGGTAATGATTTTAGTGGCGCTGAGACACCGGGTATCTTTCCGGGCCTAATACCAGAGGTTGTACGTTATGCAAAGCATCGATGCAGCCACGATCTGCCAAGAGCGAATGTCAATTGGGGAGTGCAAATTTTCAGTAACGAAGCAGAGGCACACGACACGCACTGCTATGTAAAATGTTTTCTGCGTCGCGTGGGACTCATACGGTTAAAGAAGTTGGGTTGGGATGTAAGTATGTAAGTAGACTTTTGGCTAGGATCTCATTTAATAATTCTAACTTATCTTCGTAATATTGTAGTCTAACCGTTTGGGAGCGATGTTTTGGAATTTACGAGGGCATCAAAACTTTCCCCCAAATTGTTTTAATGCATTGTACACATCGGATGAAATGAATGGCAAATGTGAGCCATATTACCAAGTGTGGATAAAAATCTTACGGGATTGTCAATTAGGTTTCAATTCCTTTTTTTACTATGACGTACGACTGGAGGATTTGTCATTTGAAATAGTAAGCGATGAGTTACCTTTATTACTAAAATATATTTCTCTTTATGTATGTCATCGCAGCCCCTACCTCTATATCGGGAACCTGGCGTTGAACCATATCAATTTTGTTCCGTTGCATTAAAAGAAGATACTGTGGATATGAAATCACCAGTTTTCACGCTTTGTATTTATTTACAGTTACACTACATTGACAGTTATGGACGAATTGATGTAAGTTAGTCTTGTTGTATTATAAAAACATACATACATCCCATTTAAGAGAATAAAATAAGCGAATAAAAATACGGGATTTGTCCGATAAGTACTTAGTATTGGCTTGATACACTTGACCCAGCGATGCCCCAATTTCTTTAGCTCGACTGAAAAGTACGTTTTCTAGAGATCTGCAACGAAGACCTCCTTGGCGGCGATAATCTCCTCTTTCCTCTAAAAGTTATGCCCAACGTTTGACTTTTTTAAATTTGGACACAATGAGAGCAATGATGTCAGAAAAGCAATTTCCTAGTAGTAGTAGTAAAGTAGGCTAATTTGTCGGCTTTTTGTACGGTTTAAGCAAACGCGACACCCAACGTGACGAATTTTTTCCTCTATCATTTTGAGTTATCTACTGTCTCAGTTATTTCAACACCCTTAAGTTGGCTTCAGACCTTCAATCCAAGCGTATCATTACGCAATTTCCTTTCCAAAAGCTCTTTTGCGTTTTTCTAAAATCTGCAAATCAGGTTCTAGACGCTGTCAAAACAAAACGAGTCCGATTCGGCTGAAATTACGATAGTAGCCACCTACGAAAATCAAACACACGAGCTAAGGCTAAGTGCTTACCGAAACGTTCTGGAAATTTGTTACGACAGATAAACGGACTAATGAACACACATCACAAAATTATTATCTATCTTAACTACGGTCGTTTAGTTATATATAAATGTATATACTTCCTCGAATATTGTTGGATATTACAAACAACCATTAGTTGACTAAAGTTTTATACTGCGATTAATTAATGTTGCGAGAGTTTAATAAATTATTTGCTTTGCTTTCATTATTTTAGTCGTCGGAAATTATACACAGCTTTGCAGGATCGGGTCGTTTGACGGCACACAACGAACGGGTTATAAGAAAATGCGCACAGCATGCTAATGCCTATTTCATGCATGGTGAAAATAGCAAGGAGATGGCTCAACAGATGACGACTTGTCTAACCAAAAATGTACCAGACGATTACTCATTTGTTCTCCAATATTGGAATCAAGTAATGCGCGATTATTGAATAAAATTGTAAAATAACGTTGTTAGAACAAATAGTCGTCGAAATAAAATATCACATCTTCTATATGGTACTTGTTATCTGGGCTTTGGCCACGTATGCTTTATTGAGTTTTTGATTTGCTCTTTTAACAGCTCAAAATAGATTGTGCATTTATCGGCGATATTTATGAACAAACAACAATAAATTTAACACTGAAAGTTTCGGTTTTTGCTTAGAGGGTGCGGCATTGTGTCGACAGTTAACTATGTTGCGTGCCTCAATCACTTATGCTTCATTTTATTTGTCGCCAGCTTTGTGTTTTTATGGGATATAATATCGTACATTATCATAAAGATTGCATCTCTTTTTGACTCTTTTTGTTTTTTTGGCTTATTGCTCTGAAATGGACTTCAGCGCCTCACTAATGTGCTCCACGAGGGGCAAATGTGCGCTCAATGTTGGATGACGATAACCTTCAAGGAAGTAGCAGGTTTTGTCACCGCTTGTATCCGGGAACTCTTTGGGCAAGCAGGAAGGATCTCGTGCTTTTAAGTCAAATTCGAAACCGGGATATTTAACCAGCCAACTGTAAAAATTTAGAAGGTAATCAAATATTTTTTGTATGAATGATTTATATAAATTGAAACTTACTCTTTAGTTGTTGGACTCACATTTATTTTGCAAGCCTCACTGCCGGACTCAAACTTATTGGCTATAGTAACATTATGTCCGAAAAGGCAATAGCGTGGCATTTTACGACCAACAACGCCAGCCAAAACAGTGCCGGTGTGTAGCCCAATGCGCATTTGGATTTCCTGATCTGAAAATAAATATTTTTATGAATACCCTCTAAAATATACAGTAGACTAGTAAAGGTTGGTATAAAAAGCCGCGGAACAAGGTGCACTGATGAGAATGTGAGTGCCAACAACGGTTACTACGGTGTTTAAAAACTATGGTGAATTTGTTTATACTCATAAAATGTAAATTCATTCTTCCAAACCAATCTTATTCCTTTCAAAGTAGTTTCCGTCTAATAAAATTTTTGCCAACACTTTTTCCAGTCCACGAAACAGTTGGAATAGCCTTTTTCCAGTATAGCCTTCAAGACCTTCTTCTATTTGGTTTTTATTTCCTTATTTGTTTCAAACGGTGTCCCGCACTGGCCTTTTGAGTTTGTTGAATAGCCTGTAGTCGCACGAAGCCAAATTAGGGGTATACGGAGGTTGCGGAACGATATGAATCGAGTTTGTGGCAAAAAAGTCGCAAAGAAGCAATGCAGTATGACTTGGTGCATATATGGGATGAAAGGACCAAGTTGTTCGCCTAAAATTCTGGTCCTTTTTCATCTCGTTGGTTATACTAAAAAGCAAAACTTACGGTCCTTGGGTTTGGGAACCATTGTATCAAATGATACGGAATCCGGATAACTTGACTTTTATTTAAAAAAAAAACGATAACAGCAATAAACGTCGGCCCGTCACGATAACCGATTTTTTGTGGCTGACGTTTAAAGACATAAACTTAGCCGATTTATAATTCTGAAACAAGCTACTGAACTGCAATTTTAACGGGTTGTCGTATAATACCGATCATATGAACATTGAGAAAGCCATTCAAAAAGTGCAGAGTGCCGATTGAAGGACATGGAAAACTGGATTAACAGATTACAACATTGTGACACCTACCTCGAATGAGTCTATCATGAATGAAATCATATTCAGAAAATATTTGAAGCGTTTACTGTTACAAGTGAACCAATAAAATATCGGAAATTGACACTCATTAATTGCACACATTTTAATGTTCCATTACCCGATAAAATAACCGAAAAAAGTCGATTTCGATAAAGCTTTTTGAAACGGCGATATTTAGTTAACTGAACCTTTCAAAAGTTCTAATTTGTTCATTTTTAATGCTTCTTGTGGTCAACGTTGAATATCTTTTCTAAACATCATAGAAATCCTTGAAGAGAATATTATATGAGACGTTGGGCTACTTCTCCTTACCACTTCAATGAACCTTTTTCCCGTGATTTATTTTTTGTCTACTGTTGACCGCTTGATATTGCTCAATTGATGTTGGAAAAATCGACTTATTTTGAATACATACAAAGTACTCTCTAAGTTATTCGCTACAAAAATGGAACCTGGAATCGCCTGCCAAATGGCACTTTACAATTTGATGATGTCACCAAATGGCGGCAGATTTTATGAGAAGTTTTGATATAAACTATAATAAAAAGTCGATCGTATTAGTTAATAATTATTCTCCACTCACCATCATGGGTTATGTGCTTGGCACAAGCTACGATCATCTTCAATGCCATCCATGCTACCTTGTGGGCATCATAGATCGAAGCTCGGTGCAAACCACTAGCCACGCAATAAGCATCGCCAATTGTCTCCACTTTGTACACGTCGAAGAGATCGCAGAATTCATCGAAATCTTTATACAAACTCTCGAGCATACTGATGACCATGAAAGGTGTAGCACGCGAACAAATACTGGTAAAACCAACAATGTCACTAAACAGTATTGTTACATCCGGATAGGTTTTGGCGTCGATACTGGCACCCAACCACAAGCGTTCAGCTATCTCAGCTGGAAATATTAGATGTAATAAACTGACATTCTTTTTACGCTCTTTAGCGACAGCAGCATTTGCCTCTTCGATTGAGCTTTTCAACTTGTCCATGCGACGGCGCAAACCATCTTGAGCACGTGCTTGTTCGCCAACCAAAATTACTTCGCGCGTAGCATCATGTAGTGGAATATCCGATATGAAAAGTCCATTGCAAGTGAGACCATCCAAACCATCGAGAAACGGTGAGCCCATGAAGAGTAACGAATTCGATTCCGGACAATGTACCATTTGCCCTTTGATCTCTAGACCCTACAATTGTGAAAATAATATTGGATAATTGATGTTTTTTGAAAGGCATAATATTTTTCTAAATAATCTTTTGGATTTTTATTGTTGTCCTGTGCTGTAACTTTGTAACTACTTTTTTGAGGTTTACAGTTTTTATTCAACTTCGACACGAGGCGTTATCGTGAAAATAGCATATGTGGTTTAAGAATTATTTAGGCCATATTATTTTACTTTACAAAATATAACTAAAACATCAATGCAGATACCAACTTATAGCGTAGGACAAAAGGTGCCTGGGATATATGAAAACTCGCATTTAAAAGGTCTTAATCAGTCCATACCTTGTTAAAGTATGACCTTATGTAGATATTGATTCGAAAAACTAATTAAAGTGTGTACCTTTACTTAAAGTAAATGTAGAGTAGTCCTATTCAAAATATTGCCCATCTAAATCTATAACATTTTTCCTGTTTATGGCAATTTATGGATATCATTAAATAGACAGAAAGGGCAAGGTCTGTGCTGCTGTTTTCCAAATAGTTTTTAAACGGTCTTGCAACGTAAGGTCGAGCGTTGTAATTGGAAAATTATTATCTTGTGTCTAGTAGGGAATACCGGGTGTTTTTCTGCAGTCGCTCGCTTCAATTTGTTGAGGTGTGGTTCGTTAGCGTTCCCATCAATATTTTTAGGAAGTTTTGGAAGCTCTTAATACGTCAGGACCTTCGGCTTTGCCCTATGATTTTTTGCGTTTAGGGTTGTCGTAATGGATCCATTTTCCAGCCCCAAAACGTAGTGTTCAAGCAGCATTTCTGACATACAAAACCGTCTTTCAACCTTGGCTTCAATTCATTTGGCATCCAGTTTACTTGCTTTTGAATGCATCCGGCTGCTTTTTAAGCTTTTGTAATGACTGCTAGAGTGTCTCCCAAAGATACTGCGAGCTCTTCTAGTGTTTGGTAACAATCTTTATAATGCTTCCAATTCCTCATCTTCAAATTCGTCTTCCAAACAAAAATCACCACTCTTAAATCGTGCAAAAACCACTTTTGACACGTTAACTCAGCTAGAGAAGGTTCACTATAGACGTTCACTAAAATACGATGACTTTCGGCAGAAGTTTTCTTCATATTAAAGTAATGAAGAAAAACTGCAGGCAAAAACAGCCACAAAGTTGAAAAAGAGTAATTGTTTACGCGTCAAATGAATGACTATACTTAAAAGACATACAAGGGGAGCTTTGCAACGCTTGGAACAATGGAATAATAATCACGTTACGCCATCTTTGTGCAAACCACACGAATATATGTAGTTATACCTTAGACCCAATAAATTAAAAGAACTCTTATTTTTCGAAACAAAAATTAATCGGGTTGATGGCAATAATTATATTCAGTGGATCAAGGTTAAAAATAGGTTTTCTATTTTCGATACAGAACATGTTTAGGCTCCTTCGTAAATTTGCCTTATTGCCAGAAATTAATTAATGGTCGAACCTCATTATATTCACCTTAGCTGGAAACTCACTGATGTTTGGTGGACTCTTCAAACCAATCAAAAATGGTGTGTATGTACGACGTGCGATATCGCGAAATTTCATGGTCAAACCTTTGGGTCGCTTAAAGTCAAAATAAGTGGTCGCCTCACATCCGTGTTCGGCCATATGTAGCTTGTATAGCTTGCTAAAACCGCGACCTAAAAAAAAGCAAATAATAAAGATATATGCATATCATTTCAAAATTATAAATAGGGCCTCACCCATTTGCAGCAATTCCAGTTTCTCATTCATTATGAAATGCCAAGGGAATGCCTTGCAAAAGGTATGCGAATTCATCGCTAAATCGGCAACTTTGCTCGAGTTATTCCTTTGTGCTAGCAAAGCTGTTGGTTTAACCACCTCGACGCTACTGCGTTGCAACGGTACCGCTGAACCAGTATACTCCTTAACCAGCGAGAATAAATAGCGATAGCGACGCGAATCACCTTCGACCGGTTCAATTTTTATATTGACCTGCACATTGTATAGCATTCGTGTTAAAGCCTTCAATGAACCGAGTAGCAGCCAAGCGATTACAGGACGTTCAGAGGTGAATATTAGCTCACCATCGCCTGCGCACACGAAACCGGTGTCGGTGACGTCTTCCTGAAAAAAAAAGCTTAATTAATAAATGAATATTTTTGCGTGTGCCAGAGAAAAATGGATCCCTTTGAGAGTAGATGTATTATTATTTTTTGGATAACAAATTTATTTGAGAAAGCAAACTGCAAGTTAGTAAATTTTTGGTACATTTTTGATGTTTTGATGTGTGGGAGACCTTTGCATGTATCCATATTGGCCTTCAACGTCTTATTTCTTAAAGACGGCGATACACATTATTTGACTTAATTATACCCTGAACAGGAGTATTAAGTTCAGACGGAAACGTCGGAGACCCTAAAAAATATGTGGTATATAAATGAACAGCATGACGAGCTGAGTCGATTTAGCCATGTCCGTCTATTTGTCAATATATACGCGAACGAGTCCGTCAGTTTCTGAGATCTCGATCTTTAATGGTGCACACGTTATTTTCGCTTCAAGAAACTGCTCAGTTATCAGAGCCGCCGATAGCATGTAGCTGCCATACAGATAATAATCAAGTGCTTGTATGAAAAGCTTTTTAATTTACTGAGATATCTTTACGAAATTTAGCATGTGTTATTCTCCAAGGCAGTAGTACAATCTCCGAAGACATTTTTCAGATCGGAACACTATAGCATATAGCTGCCATACAAACTGCTCGATCGAAAGAAAGTTTTTGTATGGACTCTTTTGTATTTGTAAAGGATATTATCGTTTCGGAGCAACCGAAGTTAACTTTGTTTTTTTTTTTATGCTTTAATTGTTTTTCACAGGGTACACTATTTAATGAGCCCCCACCTTTAAGCTTACTGATTAATGTGAGCGTTTAACTGTCACCAAGTAATTGTTTCCGAATTCGCCTTACTGTCCTCTTGATATATGAGAACTGATAAAAGTCACAGAGAATTGACTGAAAAAAATCCCAATCGACTTCAATATAAAAATCGATTACTTTCTAAAAACTATATAAAGCTTTCAAGTTCTTGAGTAATAAGGTAAATCAAAATAAATTTGTCTTACCTCCTGCAGCTTTAGTACATCATAGACGCCATCTAATGAGCCAAGAAACTCTTGCAAATCAGTGCCGAGGCAACGAAAAGCGCGCTCAATAATGCCAGTGCAGCACGAAGTGATCAATTCCTCGCCGAGCAAAACAAGAATTTCGCTAGCACTCGATTCGTCCATTTCCAGCAGTATATCCTGTATATCGGCCAAGTAATCATAATTCGGTATACTTTTCAGTGTGTCCAAATCAATGCGTCTAAAAAGTAGAAACAATTACAGATCGTTGCGGTTAGCACAGATAAACCGTTACTTATATTCTGCTTGTACTCACAATTTGGAAATCTTCGGCCAACTTTGACTGTACTTGGCAATAAGCGATGTAACAGCGGTATTCAGATCAGAATTCTATAAGAATAAAATTTAAGGGGTTAGTACTGGAAATTTAAACTATAGTTTCAAACTAATATTATCTTTTTTATAAACACTTAACTGCCAATATTTTTAATAAAAAAATTAATCTGTTTGTTACAAGTCAGTCATTTTGGGAAAACTGAATATTCGGGGGCAGTACGATTATAATGGTAGTTTTGCTTGGAGTCAATGTAGAAGAGCACGTCTCCGAGCACATTTTTTTTTTAAAACCTTGAAAAAGGTGTTTCGATTCCTGTTTTTGGAAGGCAAATCGGGCAGTTAAATCTAAAGACACTGGGATACTGCCTATTCTACTTCTATTCACGCTCCTACCGTCGCTATGGTTACATTACGCTATGAACTGATGCTCCATTCACCGTATTCTACAGATTGGGTTGGAGTAATCAGTACCAGTAGACGACATTTGTGTATTATAAAGAAATCAGGGCAGACAGCGCTTAAACAAGGTGGGATACTAAATTGAGAATTGAGAACCTGATTTTATCATAATTTTGTGTAGATTAGAAGCGTTGAATTTTTATTCATATTTCCATTATATTATTGTGCCTCAGTCTTTATTTTTACTAGATACTATGACGTGACTATCGATAATTTCTACATATAATCATAGTATAAACACTATTCCTCATAGTGCTTCAGTCATGTTAATGCTTGGTGTCGATTCAGATAATTCCTTCTGCTGGAACCGGACAACAGATGTTAAACATGACTTGTTTGACATAACTAACCCCGTAAGCTGAAAATGGAGCCTAATCATTCATTCACAGTATAGAAGTTTTAATATACCCTGGTAATAAGAATTAAGCACGAAAACATTGACGTTCCAAAGCAACTTTTATATTCTTCACATAATTATTGGTTAATAAATATCGTAACTTAATTACTAAATAAAATGTTTAATATATGTAGTATATATATAATATATAGTATATATATAATATATGTATATATATACTCTTGCGTTTATGTATTGACTTACCGATGGCGCTGTGAGCAGCTGTATGGCCATTTGCAAATGTGTCAGTGTCAACGCATCTCCCGGCTGCTCTTCATCCTCCAATTGCCAAGTGTTGTTGCTCGTCTCTGCACAAACCGATGGCTGACGCGAGAACGAGTCGTTGCGACGAAAAAAGGGGCAAGCCATTTTCAATGTCCTACAATGGAAAGATGTGCGTACTGCGGTGCTATAGGCTCCAAGTTTGCGCGCCAATTATATCTGTAGGTTTATTGTGTTACATATACGCCACACCGCACGCTGCCAAGTGTTATGACTAACAAGTGAGCCGTTGTTGGGTTGCAACGACTTGACACTGAAATGCAAAATGAAAATTGTAGACATACGTATACACATATACTCGTATATGTAAGTGTGTATTGCGTCTTATTTGTAAAGGCAAAGCAAAACGGAAAAGCGCAGACAAAGACAAAACACAGAAAGTAAAAGTACAAAGCAATAAAAGACGGAACACATTCTAAGGCCACGGCGAAAGCAAGCGGCGGACGGTAAGTCAGGCTGCAGCGGCTTTGAGACACTTTGATAGCCTCACAATCAATTTGTCATAGCGGCAGGGCTTATGTGACTCGAGTGTCGCTATGTCGTCGGCTTACCAAGTTCAATGTGCACTTGTTCAATTTCCAGTGACAAAACGTGATTATGACTGTTTGAGTTGTTGTAATTTATGACATTTTTCTTTGCTTCTGCCAGTGGAAACGAAAAAGAAATGCTAAAAGCATATATTTGACCCGCAAATAACTGAAGGTTTTTCCTCATTGGCATGACCCTTATACCATGGGCATGTCACAGGAACCATTGAGGCGGAATTGGTATTTTAAATGTAGTATATAAAGACACCGACATTCACACCATCATTAGAACATGAATAACCGTTTATCGCAACTAATTTGATTTCATAAACTCAAAGGTGAACTTAATTCGATTTCACAACCATAAAAGTAGTTACAATGAGAATCGTATTGACGTAATAAATTATGTATGTTGAGACAAGGTTTTTCCTCTATTTTGATAGAAAATTATATTGAGACTATGAATATATTTTTATGAGAAGTTTTTGTTGGGATCGTGATTCAATTCTTATTTAATCAACTGTTTTACTTGTATTTGGAATGTTCCATAACCAACCAAAAAGATCCAACATAATAACAAAAAATTCAGAGCGCTTTGTCGATTATTGAGAGTCTTTTCAACCAATACTTAGGTTTATTTAGGCATCACAATGGAGCGGCGTTCTCAGCTATCCAAGTGGATTTTGGATCGACCGTTTAACCTAACCTAAAATAATTCGTTTACGTCTACCATATATCTTTTGAAAACAAAAACTATGATATTGAAACCTTCACAGTAAGGATATGTTCCAATTGAAGAAATTTAAAAAATTGTATGATTGAAAATATTTTTAAGTATACAGTTTAAAATATACTTGGAAAAAGTTGCCACCCATTTCAAATATCTTTCATTAACAAATTGGTAAAATAAGTATTATATTACATAATATTATATTAAGGGTTAAACAGATTAAAAAATATAAAGATTTCTGAAAGAGATATTTTGAAAAGAGTTGCCACTTGTTTGAAAAATGTAATTCATGAATTCATACTTAAAATGTAGTTATAACAAACAAAAGACTTCTATAAAAATTGTAATGCATTCATCTATAAATAATGTAATAATGAATATTATTAGAGCAATTTGAACATAAAGATTTTTTGAGTTTGGAAAAACTAATAAGAAAACCTGCTACACCGAATACCCTCCACAAATAAATTGTTTCCATACACGATATTAATTTTGATCGTTTAGTTTGCATGGCCGCTATATGTTATGCTATACTGCTCCGATATCGGCGGTTCAAACAAATGTGTTTTGCTTCGTTGCAAATTGAATATACTCTGTTCGGAGTATATGGTAAAACTTGCTGATTCAGACAGAAACTTCTTCGAGTATATAATTTTCGTTTGCGTTGTTTAAAATAAACTATATTTTGAGCAAATGGAATCAAAAGCAATGTCGCCTTAGTATCGCTCAGGAGATTTTGAATGACTCAACCACGATCCGGATTAGCTCAAATGGGTTATAAATTAGGACGAAACGTGGGTATATGGTTATGACATCAAAACCAAGGCTCAATCATTTCAACGGAAGCTACCAGATGAGCCAAGACCGAAAAAGGCATGCCAAGTTTGATTAAATGTAATGATTTTGCTCACTGTTTTCTTTGATTGCATTTGTGTGGTGAATCATAAGTTCCAGTCAAAAGACCGTACAGTTAATAAGGGATACTACAAGGAATTTATGCAACGTTAGCGTGAAGCAATACGGCTCAAATGACTAGAATTGTGGAAAAACGAATCGTGGATTTTGCAACACGTCAATGCACCAGCTTACACATCAAAGAATCGAAAAAAGAGCTGATAGCCTTACCGGGAGAATTACTTTGAAAGTGACAAAATAGATATTGATGAATAAATAAGTAATTTTCAAAAAATTTCAAAATTTCCTTTGAACACACCTCTTATTTTATTAATTCAAAAAAATTAAATAAAAATTATAAGTTAGCTAAAATTATTGTGACTGTGAGTCATAAAATAATTTATGAACGGATTATGAAGATTGTTGTATTAAGACATTTTTAATATCTTTAATTCTTGCCAAGATACAGTCACAACAGAAAATCGCATTGGCAGTTGCTTCGTCAGGCATTGCGGCCATTTTGTTAGAAGGTGGGCGAATTACATATTCTCACAAACATTTACTCGAAACACTGCCCAAAACAATGCTAGATTTTAACGGAAACGAAAAACTTTTCTGTAGTGCAGTCTTACTATTGTCTGGTGATTACCGACAGACCATTTCCGGTCATTCCTCGATCCACTTTCGCAACATGTTTAAAACAGTTATTCTTATGTTGAAAAACTTCGATTGATCATAAACATGCGCATACAGTTGCAAAATGATCAATTAGCACAAATGTTTTCAGAACAAATGCTAGAAATTAACAACGGTAGAATAGAAATGCAACCAAATACCCAATAATTATTTGAATCATAATTGGCTCAGTGATCGTGCTATATTGGCAGTAAAACTTGCACATAGATATTGACGAATAGTTCTAAATTAAAATAAAATGGAAAATATGGATAATAAAAGCCTACCTACTCCATTCATAATATTAAACTTTAAATGTTATCAACTAAAAGCTTTTAAAAATTTCATTTGATGAAAACTATAATATAAAATTAATTAAATAAATTATCTTATTTTGAATTGTGCAACTTAAAAAATTGTAGTAATCATTTTCAAATTTAAAGTATCATTAAAATTTTAACTCCGTACATTTTTAAATACTTTTTTTACTCTTCACTCATAACTAATATTTTACTGTATTCAATAGTTTAAAATTATATATGGTAATTCATTGCATACTTAGCCACAGCAAAGCGTGGCCAAGGTCCACTAGTAGAATTATAATTAAAACGAAACACGCAGTTATTATGTTCAAATATATAGCAAATTTATTGCATGCCTTAGAATTGTCTTCCTTACACAATTTCCCGAACACAATAAAGCTTCATTGAGCATTAAATCCTCCACATCATTTACAGATATAATTCACAAATAACTGCACACTTTCCATTTAGGCACAAGAAAATTCGAATTTTATAATTTAATGAATTTGCCGTTATTCTGCTCACCCAAACTATTTATGGTGTGCCTCTCTTGACCTCGGGCCATAACACAAATCGGCCGCTTAGCCGATTCACTTTCTGTATCCTAAAATGAATAATTGCACCGAATACACATTTTGCCTCGAAGTTTTGTAGTCGCGAAATTGGAATACTTTTTTAGCAATACAAAGAGAATAGTTTGAAAAAAATTTATTTTTGAAAGCATCTTACCGTTTTTTGCACTTTTTCTATGAAGGCAAATTGGTGCTGCGCCCACACCCGATGTTAATGGTGGCGTTATACTAGGTATGCGCTCACCAACAACTTGCTGTTTATTTGACGAAGGAGTAACTGCTACTAAATCGCTGCCAAACTTCTGTTCGTATCCTGTTAATACCTAGAGCTTCAAAGTTGCGTATTTCAAAGCTTTATCCGAACTTAAAATTTGCTTCGGCGCACAGTTCCTTATTTTCTCGTTATTTTGTTTGCTCATGAGATTTGGCTTTTATTTATTAAATTTTTTTCAGATGTAGCTATATCTTTATGAGATGTTGACGTTAATAATCGATAACAGACCGTTAAGCGCCCGCAAATCGTAAAATGATCGAGACCAATAAAAATTGTAATTGCCAAATAACAAAATAAAAAAACAAAATACTTGTAATATGAATTGGGGTTTGAAAATACTATTTTTTGTATCCCCTTAAGAAAGAACACTTAAACTTAGAGAGTTTTAAACAGACGAATAGTGTACAACCAAACACCATAGGTTAGTCAATCAATCATCAATTATGGTACCAAACCGATTAAATACTCTTTTAGATTCACCGATGTAATACTCGCATGATTTAAAATACAAATGTTCAGTGTGTTGCCATATGTATGAAAATTTTGCAAATAAAATTCAAAGAAGTTTATAAGCCGCCAAACAACACTATATATGTGCATATATATCAAAATTAAAAGAACTTGAAAAATATTGCATTTTAAAATATATTTTTTGCAGGGCTGCCACCTGTTTAACATTTTTAATTTGATAAATTTAACATTTAATAAACTTAAAGGTTTTTTGCATTATAGTAATAAAACTGAAGATATTTTTAAGAAGACGTAGAGTTAAAACTATTGAAGTTGCCACCTTTTCTGAAAAATTTAATCAACCAAATTGATTAAATATCAAAGCTACTCCTTTGAGAGGTATTATATATATCCCTTTAAAACAAACGTTAGTGATTACTGTAGCTCTAACCCTTAACCAGCCTGATAGCATATCCGTTAAGGGCCGCAGGAAATCACTCTAACTCACTGCCTAAATGTATGCAAATAGTTTACTATCACCCATATTGTCATTGCAATGCATTGGCGGTAATATCATTTCAGTAACGCAGCGATAACTTCGCGATTTTTTAATAAGTGAACTTTTATAGTCATGTAGACACTTTTACCTCCGCTGCCCAGTCTCAATAAATTTTTGTCAGTCATTTGGCGCTTTGTCGATATGCGACGATCTTTTTGGGGCCTGGGAGTTCTGGGCAGCACAATGGACTGGCGTCTTTAGCTGTCCAAGTATGGTTATTCGTGTTCCCAAGTATATCAGCCCATTTACCTAACCTAACATAAGCTATTATCAACAATTTTCATTTAAAAAGTTCATTTGCTAGCAATTACAATACAAGAAGTACTAAATATTTTTACAAAATCACAAAAAATGCCTAGTAAGACTATTTTTCAAATATTTTTAATATCAAATACTAAAATTCTTAATAAATGATACTTGAAAGATTTTGTAAAAATTCATCACAGAAACAATAGCCGATTATTGTTACGAAAACAACAGCTTTCGACTCTCATCACCAACACAATTAAATGCGCAAATCCAACAACAACAATAATTTCGATAGCAAATTACTTATCTATTCTTTCTCTCTCAGTCTCTTAACGATAAGCGTAACAAATCATAAGAACCTGTTGCTTATCAACACATTAAACTGTGGGCGTGCAATGTTGATAAAAAAAAAAACAAAAACGGAAAGCTTCGTGCCGCCGTAAGTGGTTTCGCGAAGCTTTTTCGACACACCACCCATCTATCGATTGTGTGTAAACAAAACGAAACAGCGGAGAGCAGTAACAGCTGTCAAAAAGCTTGCACTTAGGAGCCGAGTAGAAATATTTCCGAATGCATTTCCAAATATCCAGAAACGTGTAACGTGTGGTTCAAATGCAAGTTTCATGAAAACTTAGGGGGTTAGGTTAAATATTCTTCAAATATGTATTTAATTTTCTTTCCTTTGGCCTAAAGTACGTAAAATTAAAAAAAAGGCATATTTCCGGTAAACTACAGATCATTTTTAACAAGTCCACCATTTGGCAAAAAATTTATGGAAAGCCAAAAACGATAATGCTAAATATTATAACTAAAACTAGTTGCAATTTAAATACTTAATTATTTTTAGATAGAAACTAGTCGATATTTAATGGTTGTTGAAAAATAATCGATAATTCTAATTCGAACTAGTTGATTTTTTAGTATTTTTTATTTTTTAAAGATTTTTATCAATTCCATACAAAATAGTGGATATTTTGTGAATGTAATATTTAAAACAAGTTTTTATTTAAACGTTTATATTTTTTCAAGGAAATTTTATCATTTTTTCTTCCCACATATAAAAGACATAGCTCCAATACCAATAAATCAGGAAACCACCTTTCAATACTTTTTCACCTAGAAACGAATTCTCGAAGTGAGAAAAGTAAAAAGAAAGATAAATAGATATAGAAAATTTATTAATTAAAAATTCAAAACAAGTTGCTTACTAACATGTGGGGCTCTTTTGAAAAAGTTGATTTCGAGTTGGTCCGGTAGCCGTCAATATGTATCGAATACACATTAATAAACACCGAAATTTTCTCTACTAATAATTAAAACTTTCTCCGAAAAAATTTCAAAATCACCTGCTCAATAACTGGAACTTGCATATGGCGCACCATATATACAAATATTCGTAAACGCAATACGTGCATAACTGCGTGTAGTAAGCGCAAAATCCCAGCTGTAGACAAACGAAACGATGTGCAATGTCCGTTGATTTTGTTTTTGCATTTTGCATAGCGGTCGGTCGTTTGCTTATCATCGTCGCCGCTCTGATTTCGACATCGGTATCATCATTGACACTGACGTTTTTCGGCGTCGTTGAGCAAATTGCAACGCACGACGCTCATCTATTTCGGCGAGCTTGGAGACACTCAATTGCCTTTCGCACGTTTCAGTTTTAATTGGACACCGTAAGACGATGCACGTTGGCGGGGCGGCTGGAAGTTTGTGTAAATAAATTCTTTTTTTCGGTATATTAATGTGCGTTTGCTTGCTTTCTTTATTCGCGGATACACGACGCGCTGATTTTGTGTAGAGTTTTATTTATGTACAAAGTGCGAAAAGAGTTTTGAAATCAAAACAAATGAGGTATAAATAATACAAAAATACCGCCCACCTAAAAGAAAACAAAATTGTGTCAGCACTTGAGTAAACAAAGGAAAGAAGTTTTATACAAAACCAGAGCAAATGAGTAGTCGTGAAAAACCAAAACGCTTGTAAACAAAAGCTTAAAACTTGCGCAACACCTCACCTCACAGGAGGGGGCGGGGGCCTACCCAACACACAGCTTATCGAAGTAATTGCTAGCCGAAAGGGCGTCATGGCTGATACAATGCATCTTGTAAGTTTTCATCCGCCACAAGTGCAGGTATGCACATACATGTATGTACATTTATACATAACAACTGGCATTGGCACATAAGCCGTCACATAACTAATGTGATATGCACATATGTTTACTTAAAATGCGTGCAATTGCACTTGCATTACATGGACTTTATGCATTGGGCTTTAATCACCTAACATACATACATATGCACGCGTGTACATACCTTGTATCATAATATAAAGAGAAATTTTCCGTTAGTCCTTTTTCAACTGAGGCTACACATCTACTACATTCATTGCCACCAATGGCGTATACACCGTTGATAAAACTAATTTCCAAGGAATATTAATTATTCTATTTAATTTTATTAGTATTTTTGAATGTTACTCACATAACCTATTCATATTTAAGTTATAGTGGGTGGCCCACTACTGAAGACAAGAACTTTTGACATTGAATAAGTACTAACGACTTACTGTCCGAAGGGATTGAAAGTTGCAGGGCAACATAAAGATGGGCGTCAGAAATATTTCAAAGTCTCGCTGAAAATTCGTATAAAATATGTATATTGTATGTATAACTAAGTCCCAGTGTATTTAAAGTAGAACAAGAAAAAACGTTAACTTCCGCTACACCCAAGCTATAATACCCTTCACAGGTGCATTTCTTATAGTATAAAAGGGTATACAAAGATGTTTGTCTTAATTTTTATCAGACAGTTTGTATGGCAACTATTTGCTATAGTGGTCCGATATCGGCGGTTCCAGCAAATGAGCAAGCTCTTCAGGTAAAAAGAACATGCGCAAAATTTCAGTTCGATACCTCAAAAACTGGGGAAATAGTTCGATTATGTGCAGACGAACAAACGGACATGAATAAATCGACTTTATAGGGTCTCCGACGTTTCCTACTGGGCGCTACCATGTTCAGGATATAAAAAGATCTTGAATTAGATTATAGTACTAATCTATTATAGAAATGATTATTATAAATTTTATATTTTTAATTTTTGTAGATAGAAAACAATCCATAGTTTGTAGTTGTTGGAAAATAATCGATAACTTTAAATATTTCAATACAAACTAGTAGATTTTTAAGTATTTTTATGTTTTGAGGATTTTTATTAATTCAATAAAAAATTGGCGATATTTTGTGGTTGTTGAAACATAATCGATAATTTAAAATATTATAAATAAAACTAGTTATTTAAACGTTTTTATTCTTGATAGAGAAAAAAATATTGATGTTATGACATCGAAAATTTCATGATTTCATGACTAAAAACATTGAACGGTTTTGCAATAACATAAATAAATAAAAATCGATCGGTAGACTTAGTTGAGTTCAAATTTCAACGAAATCTTTCAAATAGTTGTTCAAACTGAAAAAATTTTAGAATAAGGTATGCACTGCGACCCAGGGTTTATTGTGCCCTCCCCTAAGTCACAACGACTCACTCAACCCCAGCACATTGATGAATTCCAATATACTGTTAGGTGCTGATGAGGCGATGTGAAAATTTTAAATGAAAAGAAATATTATTCAGAAACTTAAGGCTAGAGAGCAAGATAACTAATCTAACCAGAGGGTAAAGCTTCTTACTGGATATCCGGTATTGGTTACTTTCTTTTCAACAAAAATTAGTAGCTTCTCAATAAAATGAAAATTCGATTTGAGGTCTCACATTTCGTTAACTTTCCGATTTTTATGAGCAGCAGCAAAACTTACTTATCCACC